AACGATTTGGTTTCGCTGAAGATTATATACTTCCCAAGCTTCTTATAATAAGGAATTAGTCATTATACTTCCAGAAAAGGGACTTAGCATAATATACTTTATTTTATATTAAAAATTAATTAATTAACTTTTATTCGTTGTTCCCATATTTATTTTAATTAATATTTAGTTGGTAACTTCCCATATATCTTATTTGTCCGTAGAATTGATATCAATAATGTAATTTACTCAAACCTTGCTAGCTAGAAAATATACGACCTAAAATTGATTGTCCCAGTCTGGGCGTTAAACCGACACATGCCTACTAATATATATACGGATTATGTACTTACTATTATATACTTCTCTACAGGGTGACTGGTGAATTACTATCAATATTTAAGGAGCATACTCGGTACATGATTCTCATTCGAATTATGTAAAAAAAATAGGTACTTAATTTTTGACTAAATTTCCGTATAAATAAATAAAGTGTGTACACGTTCCAAGTGTTCCAAGTGTGAACGCGTGCGGCGGCGTGCTAATACAACAACACGCCGCCGCGCGCGTATGTGTGTGTGTGTGTATACCTAATCTGTAGGGTGTTCACACGATGCGTAATGAATTACGTAACTTTTGGTTAACTTTACTTAGAAGTTTATTAATATTTATGTTATATTAATTTTTATTTTGTCATATATGATCGTCAACTATCACGTCCTCAAGTATTGATAGTAATCCACCAGTCACCCTGTATATTAGTCATACCAAAATTAACGATCTATTCTTCTAAATAAACAAATTGGTGGCAACTGTAAGTCGATATTTCATTATATTAATTCGATTCCATGTTATTTGATTGATTTATTCGATATCAATATAAGAAATATATCTCAGAACATCAATAATTGACAATGACACTGCAGCTGTTTTATAATAACATCAAACGACTTGCTCCTCTAAGATAACGAAAATACGATCCATTTTCATTAATCAAGTTGAAGTTGGGACAAATGACCCTTACCAGTGATTGATCATAGACTTAGTGTTCTGGACACCGCTAATCCTCTTGCTGGCTACATATTATAATATAGATATGAGGCTTACAAACGATCAAATTATATAATAATACAAATGGTTTTCATCCTTAATACTTTTATTTAATCACTCGTATGGTCGATTTTGGACAGACTATACTGATACAAGCTATACAGGGTGACTGGTGAATTACTATCAATATTTAAGGAGAATACTCGGTACATGATTCTCATTCGAATTATGTAAAAAAAATAGGCAATTAATTTTTTACAAAATTTCCGTATAAATAAATAAAGTGTGTACACGTTCCAAGTGTTCCAAGTGTGGACGCGTGCGGTGGCGTGCTGATACAACAACACGCCGAAGCGCGGGAGTGTGTGTGTGTCTACCTAATCTGTAGGGTGTTCATACGATGGGTAATTAATTACATAACTTTTGGTTAACTTTACTTAGAAGTTTATTAATATTTATGTTATATTAATTTTTATTTTGTCATATATGATCGTCAAATATCACGTCCTCAAGTATCGATAGTAATTCACCAGTCACCCTGTATGGCCAATGAAAGATCGCATCGAATTTATAATTTAGCAGTTGAAACTGGGTCGCATGTGAACCGAAATTAAATGCAAAAACATAATTAGGTCGGCGTTTGCAAGTTTAATCGAATTACGAAGTGGCGTCGGATTAACTTCGCGGTTGAAGCTTCGGTTCCGCCACAAGATTAATGCAACTTGAAATTAATGATAGGTGACCCGACACTCGCAAATAGGACACTATTAACTAAATACGACTAAATTATATACATATTGAACTTACAGTATCATTACTATTGTACTATAATTCTAGTACTAGTTTTGTTGATCTAACTGCAAAACTTTGCAAATAATATGGAACAGAATATTCTATATTATCCCTACTAATATTATAAATGCGAAAGTAACTCTGTCTGTCTCTTACGTTTTCACGCCTAAACCACTGAACTGATTTTAATGAAATTTGGTACAGAGATAGAGTTGACCTTGAGAAAGAACATAGGATAGTTTTTATCCCAGACTTTTGAAAGGTTCTCTTGGAAACGCGATATAACCGAACTCCACGCGAGCGAAGCTGCGGGCGGAAAGCTGGTGTTTCATAAATCAATGCTATCGCTATTTTTACTTCATAACTGTATTTCCATCAGAGTTTAATTTGTTTAACACGTGACCTATATTCGTTGCCATAACGACGAGATCTTCTCCGATGATTCACCCACATCGCGGTCGGATACCACTCAAGTAATAAATAAGTTGTCAAACGTGTAACGAGAGAGATTCATTAAAACAGTTAAGTTGTTTCAAATATGGGGAAATGAGTATTTTGTTTACGGCTTCGTGGTTTATCTAATGGTATAATTAAAATATTAATTGAATATAGATCCTCTAAATAATGGAGGTTAATTTGTGATAGTAGTTTGTCTGATTTCAATTATTTTAACAGGACAAAAATAAAAGAATATTTTTAATCCTAATAATAAACAAGTGAATAATTCTGTTTCTTGATTAGGAAAATCCAATTATATTTTATTTTATAAAAATAGTGTAATTGAGAAATTAATTAAATTGACACATACATAAGGTCAAAATTCTGATAGAATTCCCGTAAAATCGTTTTTTATGTGACGTAGATTTGAAATAAAATATTCGCTGTTGTTTTTCTAGTTAGCACAGAGGACTTTCAAAAAGTGTATCGTTTCCAGAGCGTCTCTCGATCCCGACTCGTTATAACGCAAATTGTTTTTTAAAATCGCTTATCACGATACAGTCTAGAGTTTGTGAAAAATTTGTGTTTGATGCGAAAAGTTATTCTTCTGGGAACGGGCCTGTGATGCATGACGATTTTATTGCTTCGGTAGCTCTTGGCAAATACTTCGAGGGCGATGTACAAATTACTATTTAATTATTCGATCATGTTCTTCTTCTACCTGGTAATTACCAGCTTTAGCCAGGGTCTGCCTAACATGTTGTGAATAGTTTTGGATAATCGTTTTTACGACCAGTCGCTTGCCTGACATCAACCATCTTTGGGAATGCATTAATCAGTGATGTCTAAATACTTAGAAAGTACATATGACTCAGAAAAACCACATTGGTATTTGCCAGGGCCAGGGTCAAACCCGCGTCCTCATGAGCAGAGGCGGACCTTTTAACAACTAGGCCACCACTGACTATTTAATTATTTGATCGTAAGTAAGAAAAATAATTCATTCATCCCCCACCCACAAAAAAAGTATAAACAAGCGTGTTTTATTTATAACGCGTTGACAATATATATTTTTTGTCGTTCGCACATATTACATTACATTTCGGGATTAAATTCTGAATAAATCGGAGCTCCATCTGCTTGAAAAATATTCTCTGAATTTATTTTACATACAGATTCTTCTCAACGCGAAAATATGTTAATTTCTTACAACACATGGATCGCGCTCGTGTAACTTTTGTGGCTTTTTTAAGCATTAAAAATTCATAAAAAAGGATATACATATAACGGAAAATTTGCAATTCACAATTTTCTGTTCAGTTTGAAATATGGATGGTTGTGAATTAGAATTTAAAATAGACTTTCAATTCATTCAACTAGACTTGCATAAAGTCATAGAAATTACGAAATTCTCATTTCTATTTCCAGAATATTTTGATTGTTACAAAAGTTAATTTTTCTTGTACGCCTTATGAGTTTTTTATTCAAGAATTTTCCAATAGCCAAAGAATATTAAACATTCAATATTGAATTCATATTTTCTGAACCAATTAATAGTTAACTTTGGTCCATCGTTTCGATCGTTGTGACGTCAGAGCGTCAGACCGTCTATATCCAACCCCATCAATCATACATAATTGAATATTAGAGGCGATTGGATTTAAATTAGAGTAAATTGTTGAATTTAATTGTTTGTTTTTATTACTCGCAAAATATTATCAATAAATGAATATTTTAATAAGATTAATATGAACGGTTTGGTAGAATTCATTGCTTAATTATCAAAATATTATATTAAATATAGTGTTCATGAACAAATATTACATATGAATTCTCTCCACAATAATATAAAATCTAATAATACGGAGTACATACATTCGGTGTCCATTATTATTATCACAGTGAATAACATATTATATTAATAATACGACTTTATAATTCAACACTTATATAGTTACACTGAAAATAGCGTTAATATGAAAGCCATCTTAATATTAAGCTCTCGTTAAATTAAGTCAGCGTGTTCTTAATACGTTCGGTGCGGAACTGAATTAGGGAAACATAACATTAGCATTTCAAATGCGTTAGTTACAGTAACTGTGCTCCCTGTTTGTCTGAAGGCTTGTACACTTCATAAGACTTGCTATTATAGAACATCGTCTCGAAAGCAATATCTACATATTTAGGAATACGTTGAGATTGAATTTTTTAAGCAATCAAGACAACTTGTACCATAAAAAACATATTTGAACAGTATTAGGAGTTCAGAAGAATCATATTTTTAAAGTTTCTCGATATATCTTCGTCATAATGACGTCCTGTTGTGTAATTAATAATAACTTTTACGTTATAAAATTATTATTTTTTGTTTCAGATAACACCGAACAAAGTGGAATTATATTGAAGAGAAGAATAAATTATTATTTGAGAAAGTTAATGTGTTCGTCAATCGTGGAAACCGATGAAGATAATCTGATATCTATGATACGAACGTTCAGCTTTAGGCCAATCATGAATATGACATCAGGGTCCTTGGCTGACCCGGGTCCTTGATTTATGTGCTGCCTATCCATCACATGAGACTCATTCACATATATACGACAGCACCATATATTTCGCAGAACTAATATCTCACTACGATCGAAGCCTCAGTAATGTTTCCAATACTTTTATTCACAATTGAAAGTCTATTAGCATGTTTATTGAGTGACGTGAGTGATGTTATTTGAATAGCATCAATCATGCGTCGACGTCCGATTCCGGTTCGTGGAACAAATGTGAAATCATGGCGTAGTTTGTGCGATAATGAATTTGCGATATACGTCCTGGTTGCGTCCGTCGGTGCTCTGACGTATTCCAATAGCTTGAATGGTGAATTCGTGCACGACGATATACCGGCGATCGTCTCCAATGGTGACGTCACTGGAGTGAATCCCGTGCTGAGAATATTTAAGAATGATTTCTGGGGAACACCTATGTCTGATCTGGGCAGCCACAAGTCATATCGCCCGCTTACCACGCTGACATTCTGGTGAGTTTAAATTTATATTGCTTACATTTCTAAGATTAAAAGAATTCAATTATTAACACGAAGGACGAACTGAAATATGATAAAAATTTATAGATTGGTTCAAAGTTTGAAATGTGTCTAGATCAAAATTATTCAGAAAGCATAGCTAAAAGTATTATGCACTGGGTATTACGAGAGAAAATTTTATTTGTTGTATTTTAGGGTGTCATTAGTATTGTTGGCGGTGTTACTTCCGCATTACCGTTCCTCGCTTTATTTGATTTTGAGAGGTTCGCTGTGAGCGAAACACGTTTGATATAGTGTATATTATGAAATAAACCTTAAATATAAGAATAATAATAACAAAAATATATATAAAAAATGTTTGCAATAAGATGTTGTAAAAAGAATAAAAAATGAATATACTTTTATAATGTTTTCAAAATGCCTATCAAAATTCACTTTAAAAGCCAAAAAAAGCAGAGGAACTTATTTGTTTAGGCAAAATCTTAAGGTGATCCAGACCTATCTTCTCACGATTTTTGTCGGCCTCAAAATAGAGGTGTATTTTTGTTTTGTCTCACGATGTCCCCTTCACCCTCGTATATCATACGATCTTGTTTTCTTGGTGTTAAACAAATGTTGGAGTCGCTTTAATACGATAATAGTGGAAAGAATGGTCTGACCCGTGAGACCGATAACCATGCTGGATAAAGGGATTTCGGATGAAACTTACCAAATTTATTATCTCCTGTAGTGATGGCAATTTATTTTTATTATAGTTATAAACTTACCAATATACTTTCGTGGAAATATTCATAACTTCTTTTTATTGGAATGTTTTGTCTTTAATACGTTGACGAAATCCATGATATTGACAATGGGATATAGAAAATTATTATTCGAATCCTTTAAATAACTATTTTTTATCAAATGCCCGCTGATGTATAAGATTAAAAAATACGTATTTCACTGGAAAACCCTGAAAAAATGTACATTTACAATATTTTTTGTCAAAGATTAAAAGAACATAGCTGGAACAATTTCACTGTTGCTATTTTTCAATATGTCCACGTTTTTTGTGGATCACAACTATCAAATACGTTTCAAACATGGATATGAAGTCTAATATAGGGTAGGGAGGCTACATGCGGTGAAGCAAAAACATTTAACAGTTTCCATAGCTATGCACACGGAATTTTAATCCTTATGGCTTTCAAAATAAGATCCATCATCTGTTACATGTAGCGACTTATATTCGTGTTAAAATTTTTTGCGTGTAAGAAGAAATGGGACGTGTGATACTCGTATGTAGATATCTTTTATAGATGTAGATTATATAAGATATGTGAATGGAGAGAAACCTATTTGTTATTTTTCTTCCGTCTCTTCGTCGGTGTTCATTTTGTAACCAGAAATGATTTTATCATGTCTTATACATATTTATTCCTTTTGAGATTGGTTTGTGTCAGCACCTTAAATAACTGTCATGTTTTGAACAAAATAGTTTTAGATATCCTTTATAAGAGTGACATGTAAAACTTAGTCGCGTTTCTAAGAAATGTGTAAGTAATATTATGAGCATTTTTAATTTCCATCCTTTGTCTTTGCTGGAAAGGCGTGTTTAAATATCCTTAAAATTGCACTGACCTGGAGGAGAATGGAGCATATTAAATTTCTTTAGTGAATGTTCCTTTGTATAAAATGATAAAACGCCGTCAAATGCACGAAAGCCGTAACGTAAAGGTTGCGCTAGAGAAAAATTAATTACATTATGAGGAATACACATCATTGGTCGTACTATTTTAATACTTTCTAAATGTTCGATAAAAATTATGAATTTGTTGTTAAAGTCAGTTTTTTTTACGAATGAACAATTTCTGTATTTATTTCAAGTCTCTTATTTACTTATTATCAAAATTTATGGTAAAACGAATACGATAAACGAATTTTGTTGTAATCCCACCAGCTTATTGTATTATTTAATCACTATAGATTACTATTCATTCATAGTTTAAATTTGAATGAATAAAGGTACAAAACAAGAATTAAGTTCACCTAAATAATTATGTAACTAAATGTAATAAAATAACATTTTCAATACACGGTAGTAGTCATACAAGTTTTTGAACCTACGTTTAACCATTACTTTAATGTCCTTTGTAGCTATACCATGAAGATACTAGACAACGTGGCATCAATTCGCTCTCCTATAGTTTATAAAACCGACTTTAAGGACGTGCGTTATGGTCGAATTTTAATTGTTTCGCTTTAACAAAAACTGCAGTAAGTAGGTCAGAGATTCTCAAGACAATGGACCAGAGCTGTGATAAACGACACAGCGATGAGTAGCTCGAAAACCCTTGGAAATTAAATGCTAGCCGTGATAAATTAACCACGAAAACATTACTTTATTTAATCTCATTCACACCAAATTCAACAACAAAAAATACGCACATATTAAGGGTCCTTTAGTACGCTCTTATTAAGTAAGTCTACATATTTAATAAAATAATAAGCAATACTTTTCTATTACATTACAATAGTTAGTGACGAATGCAAGCAATTTGTGAGTTTCATGAGTTATATCGTTGTATCGCAATGCGGTAATGAGACTCACGCGATGCTATGACACCGCTCACCGCATTTCACTGTAATTGCTTCAATGCGGGTTCTTGAAACTTTGAGCGCGTAAATATTAGATTGCTTCGAGATTTCATATCAAATATATATTTTATAACTTCTTAAACTTAATCTTTATATATTTTATGTGTAAGAAGATGTCATAATGGTTTTATTCCAAAAAAAATATTAATAAATTCATCAATGCGATTCTTTAATACTTCTCATGATTCTAAAGTGCCTTTAAGGAAGTTAATCTTCATGTTGAGTAAAATTACAATTTCTTTTGTCGGTTTTATACACTTAATTAAGTTATATTTTCCATTAACTTATTACAATTATTTATTAACTTCTGTGAACTAGAATATTCTTATGAAAGTTCAAGGCCAGTTATGAATATTATTCTTGTTAAGGTAAATTGAATCTAAATTATATAAAAGGTCAACAATACAAGACGAGCATTTAATTATTTTTGGACTTTAATATCTAGAATATATTAATGTCATACTAAGAAGATTAAAACATCCTTGTTTTAAGAAATCAAGCCTTACTTATAGTATTAATAGTATTTTTCAATTCAAAAAAGAGCATTTTTTCAATTTAAAAGTTAGGCTAATAATGTTATTACACATGTTGCTTTTACATATCAACTTTGTTTTTCCCTTGTTTAAATAATTCAATATACGTATAAAATAGAAAACAGTTTAATTATTAAAAACAAGTGTTATGTTAATAATTAAAGATGTTGACTATTATTCATAGATTGTTTAAAGTTATCAGGTTGATTAACTCAGGAAAATTTCTTGTGTTTTTTGAAATATATTATGTTACTTTCACGACTTTTCTAAATGTAAACTTTAAATCACTTCTGATCCTCAAATATCTTCCTACAATCAGCACATCGCCCTGCTTCTTACGAGCAATAGCCTTCCTATAAATGGCTAATAACCTATGTGTAGTGGAAAATTTTCAGTTAAATAAGTTGACAGTGTCAGTGTTCAAAGTAAAATTTTTGGTACGCTATTATTGTGGAAGTCAAAGAGATTGCGACACAATCGCTGCATGCCGCAATTTATACGAGCTATACAAATCTGTTGAATAAAAATGAAACTCCGCATGCATATATTAGGGTTCAACGTTTTAGTTACCTAACCCATAAATTGTTGAATTCGTTCCAAAATATTTCTATAATGGTATTTATTATAATAGTATTTAAAATAAATAAAATCAAGTATTAATGTGATGTATTTTATTATTTCCTTTTTGAATTCTAAGAATCTTTATTTTTGTTATATACCTTTAGATGGGGATATCTTTTCGTTTGCTATTTACTCCTTTGGCACGTAGTCCTGTCATAAAAGATGGAATCTTCTCTGAGCCAGATTGAAGTAGAAATGTTTGAACTTTAATGTGCAGTAAAATATATTAGAGGAGGAAGAATACTGTAATAAGAGTGCAAAACCAAAGCATTGCGTCATACAATTTAAAGGAAAATACTGGAAAGTTAAATATTTGTACTAACATATAAAGTTTAGCTTATTTTACTGAATAATAATAATAATATTAAGAATTACTAAAGGTTGTATATTTATAGTAAAATATATACAGTATTCAGTTATATGTTAGTAAATAAACATAGTTTCAAAAGAACCTTTCGTTTGAGGTAAAATATTTGAACATTCTATATTAAAATAAAACCATTATATTTTCATAGCAACGCAACGGCCGGCAAACCGCTCCAAATGAACTAGCACATTCGTTGTTTTATTCAAATTTGATGTATGGCGTATTGGGTTGTAACAACAGGGGGTCAACTTATGCGCAGTAATTAACGAGACATCTGTAGATGAAAGCAATTAAACCCATAACACTCTACGTGTCAAACAATTCTTTTGTTTTGAAATAAATAAATTTTAGAATGGAAATATCATTAATCCTTATTAGTTTAACATTTAGCCTAATTCAAGCCATGCACTTTTAAGAATTTAATAATATTGCTGGTTAAATGTTGTCTCACGTTAACAATAGGTTTTGCTGGCTTTCACTTGGCTCCACAGACACACAGACTGTCAAAGCTGAACATATTTACATTATTAATGTTTTTTCAAAATTTTAATATTGATCTTTATCGCCTAATATTGGAATATCATACTTTCATAAATAAATAATGGAAGGCTATAATGTTTTGAATAGCATAATTTTCCCGAAAATTTTCAATAAAAGTCGTGTTTATCAAAATACACCTTAATATCTCAGGAATTATATATTTAAAATTCACATAGTAATTGGAGAAGTTAATTTGAGAAAACGAATATAAATCTAAGAAACTGGTCCAAGAGAACAGCCAAGTATCGGATAATCTCCAGCAAAATTTGGCAAAACGCCTAAGAGGCAATTGG